GAAAATGAACACTATCTAGGCTTGTATCAACAAGAAAAAAAAGCAACCTTTGTGATTCAATACAAATGAAGTTATTCGAGTTTATTATTTTAATGAATTCTTATAAATTATTTGAATTTTATTTAGGTGATATTGGTAAAGAAATGTACATAATAAAGCGTGGCCGATTAAGTGTTGTATCGGATGATGGAACAAAAGTATTCGTTACACTTGAAGAAGGAAGTGTTTTCGGTGAAATTTCTATTCTTAATATACCTGGTTAAATTTTTTTTTTTGTGAAAAATCACTTTAAATAATGTTTTTATTTTTTTAAGGAAGCAAAACTGGTAATCGTCGTACAGCAAATATTCGAAGTGTTGGTTATTCAGATTTATTTTGTTTAACTAAACAAGATTTATGGGAAGTATTAGCTGAATATCCATCAGCACGTGATACATTAATTGAACGTGGAAAAGCACATTTACGAAAAGATAATTTATTAGATGAAGAAGCAGCACAATTAGCACAACAAGATGAAGCAGCTATACCTGAAAAAGTAGCTCGATTAGAAGGAAATATTGATAATTTAGAAACACGTTTAGCCCGTCTTATGGGTGAATATACAGCAAATATGGCATCACTTGGTCAACGTTTACAAACAATTGAAAAATTAGCTGACCAAAGACGAGGAACTCTAATAGATGATAAACCTAGCCGAAAAAATACACTTGATGTTACCGGTGTTGGAACTAATGAAGATGATGTTTAATTAGTTTTTATGCATCTATGTTTAAGTTTTTTTTCTTTCTTTTTGTTCTTCATATTGTAATGCAGAACTAATAAGAATATTATTTAAGACTGTTAGTTTAATTTGAAGTATATATAATATTTAATAATTATATGAAAAATCAATTATATATTATATTTAATTTATAATTTTTACTCTATGAGTAGAGCCTAAGCTGGAAAAAGCAGACTTTTGGACTTGAAGTTACTTTGAGTTACTTCATGTGGCATACTTCGAAGCACTTTTCGACTTCAGATTTACTTGAAGTTACTTAAAAAGTACTTCATCTACTTGTTCTTACTTCGAACTACTTGAGTGGTACTTTGAGATACTTCAGTTATGTACTTTGCCGTACTTTTATACTCTAAGTCTGCTTTTTTTTCTCCTAGATAGAACTTGGCAAGTCCAAAGTTTTCGAACATGGGCCTGACCGAGTTCGAGTCTGAAACCAATCTGACGGGTTCTAATATATGAAACTGTTCTAAAATAATATCTCTACTAACATACAACATGTAGTATCATCAAACTGTGTTGTATGTTTATTTACACCAGAAGCCTTCGGAACTTCGTTTGTTGAGATTTTACTGCACATCCTAATATTTATTCTAGTAACAGGTGACGCAGGTTATACTTTCAAAAACTCGTTCAATAGAGAATTTTTTGCTCTACAAAACTTTTTCGTTTGTTTTTTCAAAAAAGATTTCCGTGTTTGGACAAAATTTAATATGCAAACGTCTACGCAATCGTCTAACTACGATTTTTTAATCTTCTGTAGATATCTGTTAATTTGTATGAGTCTTTGTTTATCAAGACAAATTAAAAAAGTAGCACAGTTATCACCAATGGATAGAGAATTTTTTGCTCTCGCTTCTACCACCAATCCCGATTCAAAATTAATTTGAAACTTAGAAATGCTTTCTCGTTAGTGTATGAAACAGTCATTCTCGCACTGTCGAATATGGAATTTAATTCAAAAAAATGTTGTGATTGCTAAGTTGAAGAATACAAACAATTACGTTGTCGCTATCGAAAGATGTAGAATTTTCGGAGAGAATTTGATGGCATACTTGTCATTACGAAAAACCGTTCTCACAAAAACTTGAATTTTTTTCGGTTTTGTTGACCGTAGCAGTTTGACGATATGTTGCTTTTAGACTAGTGATCTGAGAGAGACAGTTGCTAGTGACTTTTTCATGATCATTTTGTGGCTGATAGCCACAAGCTTTAAATACAGTACTTTGTGAATACGTGCTAAACTGCGAAGATACTTAGTCATGGCAACTTCACACATAAGTAACATAGATGAATATATTCTATTAATATTTTTTCAAATCACTGATTAATCAATCGACATTTTCGATACTACTAAGGTTTGAAATGATAGAATTTTAATATCCGGTTCTTCTAATCTTAAAAGATAAAAGTATTATTCATTTCAGTTAAATTCATGAAGAAATAGCTGAAGTTACGCAACTCGGCATTGAACAGCGTCTTCAGAATGTACCAAAAATTACGAAACATTCTAGATTAGTGTGTAGATAATAATATGATTGCTTGAGCATACTTATCTGATTGTTATCCAATTTCTATACAAGATTAATATCAATTTTTGCAGATTGAGATTATTCAATTCGATTATAGTTGTTTTAATACCAAATCAATCTGTAATCGCTTTACATTGTTGTATTCTTATCAAATATTCAATTCAATCAAGATATTGATCAGTGTATTTTTCTTTCCATAAAAAAAATGTGTATTCGCCATCAAAGACTCTTAAATTTGTCTTTCTGTATGATGCTTGTAATTCTAGTACTTATTCTTTGATAACTAAATCTTTTATTTAATATTGACATACAAGACGAATAATTCTATATGTTATAAGAATTGATTGATGATCATCATCATGATATCAAATATATTAGTTTTAATCAATAGACAAAACATCGATGTGCAACGTTTCATGTGTCATTGATTATCTTTTGATCGAACTTTTCCATGTGTGAGTAATTCAAGCTGTCCCCTAACCAACTGTTGCATTTTTCGCATGACAGAAAAAAAAATTTAGAATTCTTTTTTTTTTCTTTCCACCTTTTTACACATTCAAGTGACTAGAGTTCAACAATCATCTATTTTTGAAAATAATTCTTAATCCGACTTCTTTCTTTTCTACTATGACGATATAGTTTTCAATTAGTTTTATAACTCATCAAAACCAAAAAAAAACATACCGCTCGATACATTCACTTCAAAAAAATTCGATTCATATGTGCATCGCATTGACACAGCATGTGATCTTAATCCTTAAGCCGACTATACTCTCTCTCATATAAAGATAGCAATCATATTGTTTGTTTTAAATATTTCGGCAAGATGCACATCAAAACAAAACGAAAGAAAAGAATGTTCTTGTTATTTTGCTTGTTCATTTACAAGGTTTACATGATTTACTGCCCGTTATTTACATAAAGAATATATTCTAATTAGCGTTTTTCTTGTGTTAGGATTTACTTTCCGTCGATTATTTAGAAGAAGAGAAATAAGTAACCATTGTCACAATCAAGTTAGTGCCAGAACAAAAACAAAATAATGTCAATAAATATATGAAATACATAAACCAAGAGAAATGACTGTTTAACATTTTGATGGATATTGAAAATATTTCTTGAGGAAACTTTTTCAACTGATCAATCGCTTTCTAATCAAAAGCTACTGAACTAATGCTAATTCCGAATATGACCACAAGAAATCTATCCCCTTAGGATTATAGAACATGTCGAGTTGTCTACAAGTTCGTAATCTTTTCTATTTTCCAAAAATGAGTTTTAAGTCAAATAATATCATCTTGAAATACTGATATGTATGTGTTTTATGAATTAAAATGATTGTATTTTCTGCAAAAAAAATTATTCAAAACACAAAAACTTTCTGTTTTCTAGACAATTCAATATACTCTATAATTTGGATAGATCAAAAAAATCTTTTGCCAAAAAGATCCTTAGTCTTGAAAACCAGTTTTTCAAAAACAAAAACAGTATATGAAGACATAAAGGAATGTCTTATTGTCATGTTAAGAATCAGCATGATCGATAACCTACAATTCGTTAGCTTTCATTAAAACAAGCGACTAATCAATTGAAAACTTTTCTTCGTCAGTAGAACCCGTCGGGTTTGTTCGGGTCCGAAAACTTTGGATCCAACGAACTTAAGTGTTAATCCAGTAGCTTTCAAAAACACTGGAATATCATCAATACGATCTTCATTATAACATTGTCATCATTTACTGAAACATTCATCTGTTATGATTTGATTTTTCCGATGTTCTAGAGATTCTGTATGATCTCGTATTCTTGCAATCGATGTTAACGATTGTTCTTTTTGTAGTAAATCAATCGCAATCTAAATATTTGGATGTGTAAAATGTCTTTTTTTCTTTCGAGAATGTCAACTATTGAAATAATTAATAGTACATGGTGCTATATTATATTTAAAGAATCTATTAGAATTTTTGTTTTGATTATACATTGATTCTCACAATGACTATCCATTTCTCTTCTTGCGATTAATCAACGAATAGTAAATCGTTATACATACAGATAAAGATAGAAATTTTATTACACGAAAAAAGAAATAAAAGTTTCACTTTTTTTTTTTTTTTACATTAAATAACTTTATTTATAATTGGCATGATATTCAATCTATTTGAAATGCTTTCACACATTTAATTGAAATTGACTTTTATTCTATATGGAGTGCGTGGCATTTGTTCATTTTTTTTCATTATATCCACATCGATATATGTTTAATTGGATGGACTTGTCAATTATTCACACATACGTTATATATCAAGAAAGTCGAAAGTCAAAAGTCTATACATATATATATATATATATACATACATCCACCGTTATCGTTCTGTCTTCTTTCAAGTCTCCCGTTTTATTGATTAGAATGCAGAAAGAATGAATTAAACAGTATGCCATTCGTTTATTTCGAACTATATTATATACACATGAAGTAGTAAGAAGGTCATTGAAGGACTGACCGTTTATCTTCCTCTTCTTTCCGAAGGAGAAAGAGATTCGTTCTCCTTTACACACACATTCTCTCTTTAATATCTATTGTTCATACGGACGAGCGTAGATAAACGGACGATAGAAAGAAAAGTAGACACATATAAACATTCATTTCGAATAATTTCACATAGATATTTTTTTCCATCATCATTCACGACAATATGGACAACGTTGTATTAACATCAGCCTCACAAATAAGTCCAAAATCAGGTAGTCCACTTAATTCTCAATCTATTCCACCCATAACTGTTGAATCAGTAACAACGACAGCAATTGAATCACATGTTGAATGTTCATTAGAATCAGTTGAACAAACAAATGTTGATGGAAATCTTCAAGCCCGAATGGATGTTAATTATCAAGCACATGATGTAGCTTTAGCAACGGCTAAAACAAATGGACATGAACAAACAAATGGTGTGAAACTTGAAAAACATCATAAAATGGATATTGATGATGGTTATGAACATCCAGATAAAATGAATTCATGTTGTATAATGCTTAACAGACTATTTCTTGCTTTTGCTATAGTTTGTTTTGCATTATTTCTTTGTGCTATTGCATTTATTGTTGCCAATCGTGGAAGAGTAGGTCTATTCAAAACATTCTTATTTGTTTGAGATTGAGAAAAAGAGAAAACATATTCAATATGTATAGAAGGGATTCATGAGCGAAGCAATTATTTATGTGTATTTTGTCAATACAAATGTCATTTCAAGGACAAACATACTTTGTAATTAAAGAATATGTGAGAACTATACAATCATCGTCTAGTTTATTTTTTCTATTGTTTGTTTAAGTATAATAATAATGCCAGACATACGTATATTTTTTTTTCGGTTAAAAAAAAATGCGTATTTTTTATCAGTGAGATGTATCTATTTCAAGGTTGATAGACGATTAATGAGTGATTAATTGAAGAGATTACATATAATGATAACATGTTTCAGTGAACAAATTAAGATTGTTTTGTGATCTTCGAGTATTTTTCATTGTTGTAAAGATAATAGAAACAGTTTTATAGATTAAAAATACTTGAGAGAAATTTCTATTATGAGAAGAGAATTCTCCAGAGATCAGATACCAGTTGAAATTAGCAGTACATTTAATTTATTGTTTTTGTTGAGCATAACATCTGGTCTAAGGTGTTTGTTTCTTATCCATGGAGAATTACGTCGAACCATATGTTCGGAAGATTCTTGTAAGTTAAAAAAAAGACGAAGATAAGACTTCGTTGTTTGGTTTAATGATTTAGTTTGAATATGTTCGATGTATTAAAAAATGTGTTTGAAAATATGAGTAATCTAGAGAATATGTTTATGAAGTTTCTCGATAAATGATGCTTAAAAACAATTAAATCTAGCTCCAAACTTTGTATTTTGGGTAAAATTTTAATACAATGTTGTGTATTTTTTTATAGAAAATCCAAGTCTTTTTTGAAAAATCTATACATGACGTTTGAACTCATATTGAGCTCACAACGAGGTTTTGGTAAGACTAGAAAAATTCTAAAAGGTTTCGTGCCCGTAGATTTCTCGAGTCGAGTTAGGACTGTTTTAATTAGATCTTATAACTCCAGGAATAACCGGAAAGTGTCAGCACAAAATGTTCCTTTATCAGGATATTGAAATTAGAAAAACGTTCGTTTACCACAAAAATCAAGTTTACTTGAGACTTCAATATCTTGACGAATGAGCATTTTTTTCGGCTGAAACTTTCAGATTATTCCTAGAGTTATTAGATATAAGTATAACGATCATAGGCATGGCGCCTAAGGCCCATGGACACGAACTCTTTTAGTATTTTTCTTGTCTTATCGAGATCTCCTGATGAACTCAACCGGTGTGTATCGCTTCGGATAGTTCCCTGGTTAGAATAATATATCGTGATATATGATAGATTAAATTTCTTGAATAATTTATGATAGATGAAGAATAAACACGGTTCATTTGACTTCGACTCTTTAGAAACATTGCTTTTCTGAATTGCTTGTTTTAGTATCGACATATATAAAAAAAAAAGGTGGTTCTTTCAGATGACTATTAATTGAAAAGTAACTAATAAATATCTCTTTAAGATTGAACTAGAAAAAACTCCTTCTTAAAAGCCAATTTTTTAGAGATTCTAAAGAAAGTTTGTACCATTTGGAATTAGTTTTAAAGTTCTCATTCAGTTATAGGAGCATTTTTTTTGTTTATACATTCGTAATTGCATCCCATCGCAAATGAAAGATAAATCGATTTAAAGAAATAATCTAGATACCTTCAGAAGGTGTCTATAGAATATAGTATTTTGTTTGCAAGAATGCTGCCTCACCTCAGAAATTGTTTTCTCTAAGCTACATAAAGTGAAAGTCAATGTCTTTTTTTGCGTCTAGCACTTAATTGTTCAGGGTATCTCGAGTAACTTAAAATATAAAAATTAGCTCTAGGAAAAATTTTGAAACTTTTTGAGTAGACAGGTCTTGACGACTACAGCAAAAGTTGTGCTGAACATCAAGTTCCCGATTCATTGAGCTTACAACTGGTATAAATGGTTCCTCATTTAGCCGTCGTTTTTTCGAGAGACTACATTCGGTCGAGTTTAAGATTTTTCACACGTACTGGACGCTATTGTGGGCTGGTACGTTTTTTTATTGCTTTATATAGTTTGTCCTTTCAATAACAAAGCCAAAGTACTGAACGTATTCTAGAAAAAACGCTTGTTTTATTTTATTAGGAGAAAGCTTGTGAAAAATATCAAAAATCGCTAGAAGAATAGTTTTTGAAAAAAAAAAAATTCCGAATCAAATAGTGATTAGTATATGGTCAAAAAAAAAGTTGCAGTTCACTACCTCTTAGCGTATTGGAGAAATAAGAGCGAAACACTACTTCTTTTTGTAGGTTTTCGACCAGTGCATATTCTATGAGATACTTCGCTATATTCAGAGAACCTAGTTTTATGTCTGAGAGAAGCCAATAATCAGACACGCATGAATTATCTACTTGCTGATTATATCTTTTATTACTAACTGAAGAAATGAAATATTTAACGAGAATTAAAAACTAAGAGTAAACCATTCTGAAGATAATGACTCGTCAATGAACGGTTAAGAATAGCCTTGAGTATAATAAATCATGCATACTACTAAAAACAAATTTGAAGTCGAACTATGTTTCATGGGACTGTAACAGCCGTATGCTAAAAATAAGGTAAATACAAGTTGATCAAGCCCAGAGCGAAATATTTTTGAGGAAAAAAAAGTGAAAAATCGAGTTTCTTGAGATAAGGGACGGGTGTCTCGAAACTCGTTCATTGCAAGGTTAAAACGCTGTCAAAAGCCGTTGTTTTTTTTTCGTGGATCGGTAGACTGCACTTCAAAGTACATATATATATCAATGACAAACAAAAAGTTAAAATTTTAGCTTTGATGTTCGGAGAGAAGGGGTGTCCTTAGTATTAGAGCCCTGCGGGAGAAATGTTGTCATGTAGCGTAAAATCCAGTTGACTTAAAGACGGTTGAATGCACAAAGTGCATTAGCTGACTTATTTCTTATCATTGGTTTAATTGTTTTGACAAATTCTTCTTTGAGGTAGCTTAACTTCTCGACGTATTAGTCACGACTCGTCAATCATTCATTCTCCTTAGCTAATCATTATTTCGAAATGTGAAAAAAGTTTACCAAAATTGTGAGAATGTGATTGATCCACATCTATACTCCGCTTTTTAAAACATTCAGTTTCGTTTGGGAGATGGAAATATGCGGGAAACGATAATAAATAGTTGAGAGTTTCTTTATATGGCAATAGTTGATTTAGATTCATTATCTCTTAACTTGTCAGGTGAGCCAAAACAGTTGAACATGAATAAAATTCATTATGACGTCTTCTACGGAAATCTAAGATTTAGAAATAGCAGATGCCATATAGAATCGTGTCATGACATTTTTCAGTCTCGTGCGATTAGCTGCGTTTTCTACTTCGGCTTTGCTCAAGAGACAGTATAGTTCTTTTTCTGTCATTCGTTTAAATATAAAGATATTTGTTAGAAACAAAACAAAAAACATTAAAATGTATAACAGGTTTTGATATAAGAATTAGAGAAATTTGGGGCATTGTTGTTTTTGTGTGTCGTTCTGAATTTCTATTTGTTCCATCCTGAAAAAATTTGCTGGATTCGGAATTGTCCCAACAGGACTCAACTTAGTATGATGCGTGGCATCGGATTTTCTTATCGCATGAAAATCAAAAGATCACATTGATTTCTAATTTTATTTCATATATATTTCACAAGCAACAGAATCTAATAGTAGTTTTCATAGTATCCTAGAGATTTTTTGTACTGAACAATACCTATTATCTTTTTTTTAGGCCGACGGTAATCCTAATGTAAACAATATATCTGATACAGATAACATACAAGATCGTTTAATTTCTTCCGAAACATTAATAAATGATATATATTTCAATCTGACACATCGACGTCCAGGTGGAATAATTGTTGTTTTATCACGTCGTAGTGCATCAATTAATGATATATTAATTCCTTATACGGATAGTAATGGTATGAAACAATATCGTTCAATTGTTGTTAAAGGTAAAAATTATGGTTCAGTTTGGTTTGGTTTTCATAAAGAAACTGATTTAATGAATATGAATAATCAATTATTATTAAATTATTCATTTTTAAATTCTTATAATGATGATTGGTTAATGATTGATGATAAAAGTAAACCATATCGTATTCGTTTTGTAAAAGATGCAGTTGAAATTATTTATGAATTTTCATCATCAAATACTAATGAATTTATGATGACAACAATTGCATCTCCAAAATTACACGAACAAATTATTGCTGATCCAACAAATAATATTTATTTTAATTTACGTGGTTATGGAAGTTTAAGTACAGTAAGAAAAAAAAAATCTTTGAGAAAAACCGAGCGTATATTGTTTTATTTTATTTTATTTAGCATTATTTAAATCTTAGTTTATCAACTCCAATTAATATAGAAACTAGTGAACAATTACAAAAAAATCAATTAAATCAAGGACAATATGTTGATCAATTAATAGATGTGAATAATTATTTTTATAAACTTGATCGTGTTGGAATTGGAAAAAATTTTATTGCAACGTATGTTTTAAAAAAATATTAATTTATTAAATTTTTTTTTTTTTTTTGTTGTGTTACTTTTTTTAAAGATTGACAGAGAATGAAACTAAAACGAAACTAAATATTTTTGCTGATCATAGTGGTATTATGATTGATCCATCTGGTTTAGGATCATCAGATCCGAATATAACTACACCTGATATGCACGGTATTCGTATTAGTCCAAGACAATCACCTGTTTTTCAAACAATGGTAAGATATATTGTATTATTTTGAAGTTCTTTGATTGTTTTTTTTTTTTCAGTCGATTTATGGCCCAACTTTAATTGTTTATCCATCTCAAGCTATACATACAACATGGTGGCAATTTGAATATTAAATATTTAAACAAATTTTCTACTGTTTCCAGCAATAAGTAACAATAAATGATTGTTTATTAACATTGTTGTTTAATTAGTGTTCAATATTTCAACTTGTACTGAACATAAATTTTGTATTTGTATATGTATGTTTCGTTCGTTCGTTCGTTGTTGTCTTATTCAATTAGTTTATTTGTTCATAATGATTCTTGTTACTTTTATTATTGCTGAATAAATAAATATATGTTTATGTGCTTGTCTTCAAATCGTTTATTCTATTTACTTTTTGTTGTTTTTAAGTAAGATGATGGAAAATACTTTAACGACAAGATATTTTTGATTTTTTTGCATTAATGTTAACCAATTAGTTCAAATTCAGATTGTACTTTTAATAACCGATAGAGTTCTCAATCTTATGTATTGTATATCAAGATTTTAAAGATGAATTATGATGGCAAAGTTTTCTAAAAAATCGGACACTAGTTTTCAAGTCCCTACAGCTATTTTTGAACAATACCATTTTAAAGAGCACAAGATGAGTGGTCACCGTATTTTCTACGATCTTTTGTTAAAAACATCACAAAAATCGTGAAAAAAAACGGAATTTATCAAAAAATCGTGTATCCTGTAAAAGACACGAGCACTCAAATCTGAAATTGATATCATCAGTAGATTGAGCTTGCTCAACAGATTCTACAAGCATTCAAAATGATTTCTTATGAGAGCTATTTCTAACATACACTGCTTCTATGAACCTGAAAATTAAGAAAATACATCCCTTCTATTCTTCTAAGGCTAGCATATAAAATTCAAATTTTTGTCTTTGTGCCTACGTCGAATCAACCTGCTCCCTGCGAAAAGACATGGATATGCGTGAGTGTTCGTAGGTTGAAAACAGATAAGTGTGTGTTGGAAATCGCTCTCATGCTAAATCATTTTTGATGTTCGTATAAGCAGTTCGACCGGCTCGATCTACTGATAGTATCGTTTCACATTTGGGAGTGTTCGCGTCTTTTATTGATACACGATTTTTAGCGATTTTGTGATAAATTTGATTTTTTGTAACAATATTCACTTTTTAAAGAAAGATCGAAGAAAATGTGGCGTTCTCTTATTTAGTGTTCTGTACAACGGTATCGTTAAAAAGTAGCTCTAATAGACTTTTCTGAGATGTAAAAACTAGTATCCGCCTGTTTAGAAGCCTTGTCCATCATAGATCATCTGTGAAATCTTGGTATAGTATACATTAGATGGAAAATTCCCTTGGCTAATAAATCATTATCTGGCCTTGAGCTAATTGATTAACATTATAGAAAAAAATCAAGAATATGTTGTTTGTTTAAGTTTTATCCACCAGCTTACATATTTAAAACAAAGTGGCCATTGAAAATATGTTCATGCAAATATTCTATTGTTAGACAACACTTCTCACGAAATATTTACAGTTGACAGCAACGGATTTCTTTCCTGTCACTCTTATTGGAAACTCGAATAAGAACTCTATCAACGTGTAAAAACTATATTTCTAAAGAACGCTAGCGATTTAATGTCTATTAATCTATATGATTTATTATTTATGGCCAGTTGTTTTTGCCGCTATAGTGGAAAAAGATCACCTTATCAAATAGACTGGCAGTTAACTTTTTTTGCCATCTTCAATTTAGTCATCTCAAAACTTGAAAAATAGAAAAGTCAACAAATAGGAGGGATTGTTATAAGTAAAATTGTCCATGTTACTCTCATAAAATTCAATATTATTTTATCTGTTTTGTCATTTCAACTGTCAAAAATATTTGACTAATAAAATCAGATCATTTACTGCATTCTGAAATGCATACTTTACATCGTCAAAAAGATTAGATTATGGAGTATTTTCATGGAAAATACTCCATTCATTCGCTTATATATTTAGCTGATCTATATAAAAAATTAAGCTGTTTGAGTTTCCTATCGAATGGTGTATGAACATATGAGAAAAGAGTATTCCTTGATTTTCCTCATATAACGATATGATTCATGTTTTATACCACTAATGGACTCTCATGACGCATATTACCTAGTTCTCTTCTCCAATCATAGCAGTGCACTTCGAATTTCATATCAATCGATAGATGTGGATGAGATCTACCAAGTGATGCTATGTGTAACCTACTAAAAGAAACTGAGAGGGTATGTTTCCTTTTTGAAATACTCAAAACAGTTCTATGCTGAGTATTGCTATGTATATGTTTAAATGATGAAAAATAATTTTTTTTTACTAAAATGCATAAATCCACTCTATGCTGTATACCAAACGATAGTTCTCATTATGACATCTCAAATGATGATGAACAATTTATATAAGAAATGTGATAATATATCTATTTTTTTAAAATATTTCGAATGATGGGTCGAGTGAGATGATCGTGTTCATGTGGGTGAACGTGCATGTTGCTGAAATAAGTAAAGGATGTAAAATAAGTTTTGATTCTTTCAAACAATATTCTTTTCTGATATGTTTCAAGAGTAGAAGAGATTGATATTCATAGTATATATACTAGATGTCTAGATCTATTCTATGCTAGAATTTCAGGTGTCTACTTATTGTTGTTATGGAGATATGAGTATAGTAAAATTTACAAAAAATGCGTGAATTATTTCTAGAAATAATGCAGGACCATAAAGGATTATAATGTTAATATTTTTTGAAATTTTCTCCTCTTTCGTTCACTTGTTCTACATACAGGTTTTAACTAAAAGATTCAGCATGAAATCCTCTACCAAATCTATATATAATTTGGTTTGAAACCCATTTGAAATACACTGCAAAAAAGATGAAAAGCAAAAACATTGAAACAGATGTCAAAAATAAGTATGCATGTGAAGATGGAATGATGAAAAGCTGACATGAAGTGTGCTGTGAAGGAGTCGATTTTTCAGATCATTTCTTTTCATAAATGAATTAGAATTAATAAAAAATAATCATGTAAACCTTGAAATATTTTCATCGTTTCATCTAGAGAATTTGAAAATATTAACACTATAGTTCTTTATGGTTCTGCATTATTTCTACAATTAATTCACTAATTTTTTGTAAATCTTATTTTACTCGTATATCTATAATAACAATAAGTAGGTAGCTGAAATTCTAGAATAGAGTAGATCAAGACATCATATGGTACGTATACTGTGAATATCAATCTTTTCTACTCTTGGAATATATCAGAAAAGAATATTCTTCGAGCGAATCAAAATTTATTGTATATCATTTATCATGACTTTTTTCGGATTGAGCTTAAATGTATTCGATCTCACTTGAAAATTTATTCGAGGATTCGAATAAATCATAAACAGAGTAACTTTTGATAATCTTTTGATTAATAACACATTAATTATCAAATAATGATCTTCTTAAATTTTCCATATTATTCAGGTTTATTTTAAAAGTTCATAATGATGTTTCAAGATATACGTCCATTGTAATTCTAAATAACATATATATCTCGCAAAGTTAGAAGCTGAACGAATTTCTAAAGTTGAAAATTACTTTTCTTTCATAATTCTTCTGAAACTTTCAGTTCTTTAATTTCTTGCTGAAAAATCCTAATTGCATGAATCGATTGAGTATAGAAACTAATGTCTATAAGCCAAATTATTAATCACGTATGATGCCTGAGATTCTTTTTTCTTCATAAGATTCAAAACAACTACATTCTCTTATAATCCTTCTAGTCGATCCAGGCTTAGACCGACCATTCTGTTGGACAGATAAAAAAACCTGAAAACTGTCTCGTGTTTTCTCGTACTTTGTTTCATAACGAAAGTAAACACCATAGTCTTAGATTACTTCGTATATCTTATCAATTTTCTTCATCGAATAAATTATTAAATAGAATCATATTTTAATTGAACGCCAATATTATATTAATGCCATATTCAGATACCAGTAATGGAAAATAAAATCGTTCAATTGCTTTTAAGGACCGGGAAGCAAATTACCTTAGTTGAGTAGATTTTAGTTTGGTGTAAAGAAATTCATTCTGAAATATTACACATAAGTTACCATGAAATAATATATTTTCTTAAAATAAGTTATTCATCAAACATGGTGTCAATGGAATATAGAAAAAAAAACTTTTATTTTTCCTGCAATATATAATAATTTAACTGATTTCTCTTTTGATATATCTATCTATGTGTGTTTTTTTTTAAATTTTTTTATAAAAATAGCTTGTCCTTTCTTAATGATTTTTGTTATTGGTATGATAGTTAGCTAAATAAACGAATCTCCAAGTACTTGTTTATTAATAGTTTACATTCTTTTTACTTCACTCCCTTGAATACATATATGAAGAAAAAGAGTATCGAATGTTTACGTACAAGCACAAGAAAAAAACAAGTTGATTTTGCACATGTATGAATGATTATAGAATTAAAAAAAGCAAACAAACAAACAAGAAATATAATCATGCATTAGAAGATAATTGATAGACAACAGATAATATAAATGTGTGAATTGTCTTTGGAGTATTGAAATATTTTGATCTATGTAATTTGTCCACATTTCTCGTAATTCATTGTTTCTTTGTTAATAATTACTAATCTTTATGTTGAATTTCTTTTTTTTTTTTTGTTGAAAATTTTGTTATTAATAAGAAAACAAAACAAAGTGTGAAAAATGAAAATAGACTATTTTTTACTACCACACAAATAAATGGGACAAGAATATATTCATTTGATGGTGGAAGACACATCACAAACGATTAAAGAAAATGGTCAAATGGAAAAAAAAAACAAAAAAAATGTAAAAGTAAAACAAAAACTACCACCATCCAATGCAGTCAAATAAAAGTCTCTTTTTTATGCCTAGATTTGTTTATTCTTCTTTTCTTTGATAATATTGTTTACAGGAGCTTTTATCGGAGTCGATGTTGATCTGAAAGAAAGGAACAAATATAACATTCATTAAATAAAATTGAATATTAATTCTCTTTTGATTCTGTATGTTTTATCACGTACTACCACATAACAGTAAGAAGGGCTCGGCTCTTGCAGAATCGAGATAAAAAATGATTGATCCTACTCATCACTAAGTACTACATATTATCTTTGATGAGTTTGAAAAAAATCGTGATTAAGTTCAACGTAACATCAAGAACATCACACTTACGCTGTTTCTTCTTCGTCGTCATCATCCGGTTCACGTGTATCTTGTAATCCATTTGAGGTACCTGATAATGCTCGAACAAGCAATTGAAGAATGAACTAAAATAAATGAACGAATATTATTTCAAAAATAACCAATTCTTATTATATAATTATACTTACATAGAGCCAGTAGATATTAAGACCTAATAATATCCATAATAGTGAATTAAAAAATCCATATAAACCACAACCTCTACCATAGGCGCGATAAGTAGTAACAACTCCTGTTGAATATAAAACTTTTAATGGATACCAATAAAGACGAAATAAAAACCTAATTGAAAAAAATAAATGAAAATAAGATAAATGAGATAAAGTACGATGTTTAAGACTATAAATTGGTAATCTCTACTCTTCTTTTTCGCTTTTACCATTTTGCAATGTATACATAGATCTCAAAACAACGGACATTTTACTACTCCTTCTTGGCTTCAATCGACAGCAAGAATCTAGTAAATATAAAAATTGCTGCAAAATAGTTTGTTTTAATAATTCATAGAATAATCAGTCTAATTTCCCTGTCGGTTACTAATTAGCTAAGTAAAATTCTTTTAGTGCATAAAGATTGTTTTGAGAAGAGGACTTTGAATACAGTTAAATTTCTCATTATAAGAATTCAATATTTTATTTTTCAACATTGCACTTCATGATTAGAATTAATGTTGATGATGATTAGGTGATGAGATAATTATATCATGTTTTTGACACATATCAATTGACTTCGGCCTTCTATCCTAGCTTCTGTAATTCTATCATAATCTATTGTTTTTATTACAGTTACGATAATCAATACAACGACTATCTTTCATTTTTATCGTGTCTCTTTTCGTCTACATATATATATATATATATATATATCAATAATACGATTAGAAGAATCATAAATAGATAGGTTTCTATATTTAATCTTGTTTTTAATATTAATGAAACTTTCATATAAAGATATTTCGATTTTAAGGCTTATTATCGTTTGAATTATTAAATAAATTTATATAAACTATAAAATTGTTAGAAATACAAAAGATCAATTAATTGATTTATATTCTTCATCTTAAATTTCAACATACCAACATAGAACGAATATAACAAAAGCAACATTAGCAGCAGTTTCCCAATTTGGACATTGTCGTCTACCTTTTCTTGAAGACATATAATGTAATGATTTTGCTAATTCAAGCCAAATATCGGTTATATCGTGCACAAAAAGAACAAGTAAACCAATTTTATGATATCTATAAAATGGTTTTTTTTTTTAACATAGAATAATGAAAATGTATTTCATTTTAATAAAATATCTATTTTACCGTGTTGCATAAGAAACAGAGATAAGTGCCATTGTTAATACGTGATGAATAAGCATAGCATAATAATCTTTTCGTTTATAATCCATATACATTGTTCCATAAACGGAATGTAAATAAAATCCACATTGAATAAAATACATTAATTTTATGTCAAATGGAATGTGCATACCGGATGCCCAATCTAATATTTAATTTTTAATAACAAACGAAAAAGAAATCTTTCATAATTTTTTTTTCGTTGTACTTACCGTCCCAAATAAGATACGGTTGATGAAAATAATCATAACGATAAGTTAATAAGTAAACATTAAAACACCATGTAAATGTATAAAATACAGTTTTCCACATTGATTCTGGAAATTTCTTTTTATTTGTAGATGTTAATTCAAGCCAATTGACTAACGGCTAAAAAGGAAACAAAAAAAAAAAAAAAAGAATGAAACAAAAAGAAAACAATAATTAGCATTAACAAACTTTGCAAATAAATCTTTCAAATGAATATCTTAATAATGTTATAAATATTGCTATATAAACAATATAATAAACTTGATTTATTGGAAAATAAAAATGTTTTACAATTTCATTAATAAAGGATTCGGGAAATATATAATTATTCCACATATGTGGTGCATAATACCATAATATTGTATTCCATATACCTTTTACAAGATCAATATAATTTGGTGTTAATGTAAAATTTCCTTTTAAACCTTCCCAATTTTTTAGTTGTTCAGCAGTTAAATGAGGATGAGTCATTATTCGTATATTATTTGTCGTTTAAGATAAAAATAAATTTTGTTTAAATCAACATTGATTGCTAATATTCGTGCTTTAATAAATGACGAGAACTATTCGATGTTAACATGATTATATTATGATGACTAAAAAAAAATATACAAAGTAATAAATGACGCATATCATTATATGTTCAAATGATAAGAAGAATATAAAGGTATTCGGGTGCAGGCTAAACTCAACATTTTTACATTTTTCTCTTCTATGTTAGTTTTTGTTTTTAATCTAATAACTTTCACCCATAGCCGTGTTAGTAACAGAAAAAGAAATAGAAGAAGAGAAAAAAGAGACGAGAAGAAATAAAAAGCCATGATGACTGTAAATATGATTCATATGAAAAGAATCTACTAGTACTACTAGTGCTTCTGTAACAAGTTAAGAGAGAACGTACATCACGGCGACAACGTTAACATGCATATTATGGGCGCTTTCCATCTACCAATTAGAAGACAAGATCGAACCCTCTATTGAATATGAATTATCTATGCAATACTTTTCTATGCAAAAAGAAAAGTCTGCTGTAGAAAGACCGAAAAGAAAAATATTGAAAATTTCAACTAATAAGAAATTATTTTTGGCATAAGAAGTGTAGGGAATACACAGATGGTACTGGTTGCCAATAGACCGTTTGTTACTTATGTTTCTTTTTAATCTTTTGGCTCTTAATATCTCATAGCAGATGTATAATGAAACTTTGTTGAAAGTTGACTATGTCGAATATCACTATCCATATATGAAATAGAACGATAACTCCTCAGTTTAGTGTCAATATGGGTTTTAGACTGACGGACTGGTCGAATCCGGCCCTATTCAGTAGAGATAGTGCATTCCTAATCAGAATGGAAATTGAAATCGGAATCAGTATCGATGACTCTGATTCCGATTCTGAAAAAAGGTCCATACTACTGAGTCCAAAATGATTCCAAAAAACCCCACTTTGTGTATCGTTACTACTTAACCGTTATCGGTACCAATCGTGAAAAATTCAAACCGATTTCATTTTTTGTATAATGCAAATGTGAGTGTGAACTCTAGCCTCCTCTTCACTAATACTGGTCGCTACTCTGATGAAATCACTTTTTTCAATGTTTTCCTTTCGCTCGTGTTACGGTCAATCGAAAAAAAACACTTCCGACTAGCTGAATCAATATAAAAGCTTTGTTCTATGCTATTATGTTCATCTCGTCATTCTTGCTGTATTATATCAAAGCAGCATCAATTTAATAGCTCATTCATACGTGATTAATTGTTTCATTTTTATCACTTCTTTTTTTCTTTTAATGTGTAATACTTAATTGATTTTCCATTAGACCGACACATATTCACACAAGTAAATGACAGATTCAATCGATATGGTGATCTCTCTGTATAGAATTGTTAATACATTTGTGACAGAGATCGAATAAAGCTGACTTCTATAAACAAGAGTAACGACATTGAACTATTTCGTGTTATGGTAAAAAGAATACACAGAGGCATCGATTTCTTTCTGATAGTGATTTTTCTTATATGCAAAATATAAGACTTAGGAGTAAATTAATTAAAATTAAATATTATTTAAGAATTGAAAACGATTATAGGAGTTAAAAATTTGAATTTCGGTTAATATCGAAAATAATTGTAACTATAAGAAAGAATATCATGTACGGGACTCGTCCAAAGCGACCAACATTGCGGTGGATGTAAAAAAATTTTTTCTAAGAAAATATACGACAAATTTTCTGCATCGTTGGAAAAAAAAACAAAAGGTTGTTTTGATTGGAGATGAGGACATGTCACACCCTCTGTTTCCGGTCGGACCATCCCTGATCATATTACTTTCAAAAAAAAAAAGAACAAGCAATCCTTCCTTACTGCTTTTTGAAGCTAACAATTTGCCTTGTTCGACTAAAATTGACCATGTTTTGCCGAAGTTGAACAAAAGATTTCTCGAACATACAATGATCCAACTTATACATTCAAAATTTCGGGTTTGATTTTTATATATTCTACATTGATGGATATCATTTGTTTTGAATAATGACGAAAGTAAATGGTAGTCGTCAGTTAAAATTAAGCATTATTTTGTGAAAATATGGCTGAAAGAGGGTCTTCTTGTCTTTTATCACAATACGAATACTGATATGTCATTTTAAAAACTGGAAATATTAGTAGAATCATCAAAGGTTGAGCTAAAGTTCGACATTAGTTTTGTTGTTAAAGCTGTGAAAACTATCTTTTTTCGTCAATCTAAAGAAACTCGCCGGGTGCATTACTGTAATGTTTTGGTGATAACTAGATGTGAGCAAGATAATCTTGATTTCGATCTCGCTGAGATCAAGACCAACATTGTTTCATTGGGAGTGATATCTTCTATGATCGTGTAAAACTTGTGTTAAATATCATATTCTCACGACTCATGTATTATAAAAGTTTATGTGCGAATATTTGAGTAACGATCACTTCAATATTTGCTCTTACAGTTTTGATAGCAAAATTAATCCTTTTTTTCGTAAATAACAGAGTTGTCGAGTACATAAACGTACAGAATAGACGAAGTGTCAGTGAATTAAAAGAAAACTAATGAATCTTCAAGAGGCAGGATATTAGAGACCATGCAGATCGTGCAAGATGTTCTCGAGTTCATTGACACTGCTAGAAAATGATATCGCATTTTTCGCTAGTACTTGTATTGCTAGGCGAGGAACCAGAACCAAAAACAATTGGTTCTACTCATTACTAGGGATAACTCTTGAAAGGAAGAAACTTCCAAAAAGCAAATTTCATATATCATGGGATTTATTATCTTAGCTACAACAGCAAATGAAAATATTTTGATCAGAGCAAGAAAAATGTCCAAGAATGTGAGCTTTTTTCAATAGTTCTTATAAAAGAAATTCTTTTAGATGAGTTCGTTATTACGACTTTCTATTCTTTTCAAGTAGTCGCAGTTGACAAAAATGAAATAAAAATTTTCATTAAACTAGAACTTTTATATATTTAGCTGTAGTGTAAGTTTCGACTCTTTATCATATTAAGTTGTTAAGTTATGACCACCTAAAGATCAAAAAACATGTGAATGTGTTACCTGTGGACATGCTGAATCCTATTTTTCACCCTTCACGTCTTAGATATTTTCGCTATAATCTCACAATTCATCTTCGTCTGTTTCATTTGATCAAGCAATAGCATAGATAAATACGAGCACATACAATACTAAATCATTTTCCAGTGAATATTTGTTGATATAAAAAGTCACAGTTTTGTTTCTTGTCATTGGTACAATATTATTGAAAAATCCATAATTTATTTTGGTATTATTTACTTAAATAGTATTCAGTAATGGTTAGTATTGAAAATTTTTACCTTATAACTTTCAATAATTGATTATGTTTTCTTCAGTAAATAAGTGCTATGCGCTTCATCCAATTAGTTTTTTTTTTGTACAGAAATCTAGACATTATAGCTTTAGGGTCAATACAAATGAGAGTATTGATAACATTGAAAGACTCAGAAAAACAATATGACAAAGTTGATCTTTTAAGGCATTTCTTTATGTCTTGCTGTTCATTACCAAGCATACACAAAACTTAATACTTATAATAGATATTCTCCAAACAATTATATAAACTCGACAGTATACACACTATTACATGTCACATAAGGATGAAACGAAAAAAAAACATTATTATCTATATTGCGATTTAATCATTAACATCTGGATGAAACATGTAAAATAGTTTATAAAATAAAGAATTCATACCAAATTTAGGTTATCAAGTAAATCCGAGTGATACGAGTACGAACTCGCACTTGTAAAGTTCTAGATCAAATGAATAGATTTTAATACAAAATATAAAAGTTTTAATTGAGCATCACCAAACAAGACTTTCAGTCATTTGCAACTAGGTCATTTCGAGAAATTTATTATCACAATCAAGCATTAAAAATCATTTTAAAAACTTATTAAAATAACGTATATAATCCTAATGGTTAGTACAATTAACAATAGATTAACAATCTTTTACGCACGTCTGTTTGTATTAATAAAAACAACATGAGGCAATTGCATTAAAAAAAAATTGCTTCATATTATTATTGTTTTCTCTCTGATGTATATTGCGTTTTATGCTTGTTATAGTGTAATCTTTATATTGTAAATGATAAATGGTACTGATTGTATTGTTCAACACTCTCACTATAATGGTTAGGAGTTTTCTGATCATTCGATGATACAGATGTTTATTTCGACCTCAGAGAAATCAATGCAGTCAATTAATTTCATGTTTAGTTTGTACAATATGTTAATCGATTGCTGATTTTATCTTAAATAAAAATACGTTTCATTAAGATTGGATCTCCGAATACTTTATATTTGTTATTAGAAGAGAGGTTGAATCCAAATTTGTTATTTATTTGTTGATATTTCTTGGAAAACACAATACTCTATTCAGATCTGGCAATTTTCCCATAATATGTAGCTAAAAATAAAGTACATTTCAATCAAAACGGTATATTTGATGGAAAATCCTTTGGTGTTTCATCGGTATTGGTAAAAACAGTCAGATATACTGCCAATGGCAGCTTCGGAATCCTTATTATTTGGAATATGGGCTTCGCTCGATCAGCTAATTTGCTAATCTCTTGATGAATACATTTGTTGATCTTTCAACAAATGAAAAAAAAAATCAATTGCTACTCTGTTAAACTGATGTTGTTCTGACAGCAGCCGACTATGAAAGCAGTTTTATTTTGTGTTCTTTTTTATTCATTTCGTTACTTTTGAAAAGAGTTTAAAATTGTCTTTTTCTCTTTTTAAATATAGAAAACGTATCTTGTGTATCATATGTTTCTATGAACTTGACGATTTTGAACTATGATATAATTTATTATCAATGACTTATGTTATTATCATTCATCTTTAGTTTGATTAAAATTTCAAAAATGTTGAATCATGATATCTGAAGTAAAAGTTACTACAGAATGAATATATAAAACTATGAGACTTCCTATTTTGTTAACTATCATCTGTAAATTACTTACAAATTATCATAAATGTTAAAACACTTCCTGACAATTACTCTCTTAATACCCTTCATGGAATAATCCATAAATGTAATTCTTATTGTTAACTTTTCAATTTTTTAAAGCTATAAATAAATTAAGCAGATTTCAGTTAATAGAGAAGATTATTTTTTAGTCGGTCAAAAAAATATACATAAGGTCACTATAAATACAAAATATGTCTGAATATTAAACGGAAAAAAAACTATGAAATATCAAAATTATATCGGCTCAATTCGTTGAAATCTTCATTCGATCATACATAGTCATATAAATTAAGACACATTATACAAATAAGTATCATTTGATGATTATACTTCCTCATGAATTATTATACAGATACATTATTTTTACAAACCATTTGCAAAATATTGCTGTATTTTTATCAACCAATATTCTAGAATTAAATTTCAAATTATTTTCAATCTGAAATTACACATAATATTTTCAATGAATATCTATTTTCTACTTAATCAGTTTTTTTTTTGAATATTTAGTAATGAGTGATTAACAAAATTGTTTGAATTGTTACTTTCATCTTTTGATACTGATGTTCATTCCATCTCATTTATACGACTTAAGTTATGTATCAGTATTCTCATTATCCCAATTCTTGCATTTAATTATTGGTATCTTCTCTCTCCTTGGCATTGCATATAGCAAGAGTATGCCAACAGCCATATTTTTTCCATTTCTCTGCTTCTCTTTTTCTCTTCTATCGTCTTGTTCTTCCTATATGAGTACGTTTGTTCGCTCGACCAAAGTTCGCGGGCATCAGACTGATTATGAACAAGACAAAAAGAAATTGACGAATAGAAAATGAGAAAAAAATGCAAACTGGGCGCGGCGCCAAAAGATACGATAGGATGACATACTCTGAATTATTGCATACAGTAAGCAATAGACATATGCAATGATGTTAAATGATCTCATATTAGCACATGAAAATCACTATGCTCTTTCTTGTCAATATGAGCAAATAATGGTTCATTTTTAAAATGATAAATGATTATTATTTTCAGACAATTTTCTTTTGTGAAATGATATATTTGAATGATATGTCTCAAATGTAAAGTTATTAATAATTAAGGTCGTATTAAAAATATGTGGTTTTGAAAAATTTACAAATCTTCTTCTCCTTTAGCTTTATTCCTTGAGTCTTAGATTGGCGATCATAAAAACTCGTTTATCCACGCCATCTGTATGCATAGATTATGCGTCGCTATTCTCTCTTTCTTCGACAATGTACACATCGACATCTCTCTCTCTTTCTTTCTTTTCTAAGCAACAACAAAAAAAATTCTTCATCTTCGTATCGTTGGTGTACTCTCTTCCATCACAGCGTTCTCTTCATACGAACACATATATATGTGAATAAAGAATCGACGACGAGCGTGTGCAGTCAATGCAAGTAGAAGGGGGAAAAAGTCAAATAAACGCATTCGGATTTCGCCATTAAACAGAATGAGAAAAAAATGGAGGAGAAGAAGAAACACAATGTGTCTGGCACACATATCAACTATAGTTGGTTAGTGAATGTATGTGCGTGTGCACACATACACGAACGAACGAACGAACGAGAAAGAAAGCCTCAACTAAGCAGCAAAAAAGAAAGAGAACACGAAGAAGAAAAAAAAGTAATATAAGCTACAGGCAAAATGGTCGTCATCGACAAGCCGAGCGACCGACAACGAAAGAGCAGGAAAAAAGATGGTAATATATATATATATATGTTTGGAGCTTCGACGAGAAAAGAACGAGAAAAAAAAAGGAAAAGGGGAGAAACACGAAGAAGAAGACTGTACCTATACTAACGCCATCGCGCGAGTAAGAAGAAACGATGGAAGAGTTTTCTCGTCAGTGCTGCTTGCTGTTGTGTTATTGTTGATGAGAGCGAGGTGCGTCTACTGCCATCACCACCAACTCCATCTTTCTTTTTTTTTTAATAAACATGTTGGTTCTTTTATATGAAAAACCTAATAGGAAGAAAGAAAGAAAAAATAGCAGAAATGTTGCACTCTATCTTGGCGCGTTTTCCATCTCATGTTCACTCGAGTTTTTTCTCTCTTTCTGTGTTTTTTCTGTCCTTCTGTGTGTCGTCAGCGGGAAAATAGTTCGAGAAATTGAGCGCGTTTGACAGTTTTCCTATTACCTTTCTATTCATAGAGATAGAAATTCGTATATATATGTATTCTCATTTATTAATATTAACATAAGAAATAATATTAAGAAACAAAAAAAAAAAAACTTTAAAATAACATTTCCATGCATTTAAATAATTAAAAAACTTTCTTTTTTTGTTTATTTAGATAATTTGCTTGAATTATTTTTGTATTTTTATCTAATCGATATTATTTTATTCAGTGGCAAATCCATTTTTCTTTTTTTCTAATATGTATTAAATAAAAGAAAAGTGATAATAAACTTGCACATATAAATCAATCGAATTTATGTAAGTTAAATCTGTTTTTTATTTATTGTAATTAAAAGAGAATACCTTTATTCATTTGATAAAACGTGTTGATTTTGACATTTATATGACAATTTAGCTTCTCTCATAATTTTTTTTGGCTATCATTCAAAAGAGCGTAAAGTCGATTACTATTACAATATACATACCATTCATTCATTGAGTAATGTCTTACATCGATATATATATATATATATATATATATACAAATTTCTTCCTCTTAATCAAAACTGTCTAAAATACGTATGAAGAACAAGACGACAGAACAAGAGATCGTAAAAAAAACAGCTGATTGTCAAAAAAATTACCGCTAGACAGACATATGAGTGTGTTACACGTGTTGTATCGAAGAGTGACACAGTGTGAGAGAGAGATAGAGAAATTATTGATTTCAAGGTACATGTAACTAATAAGTATGTATGTACTTCACGATGTTTCAATACTTTAGATCAATTGATGATGTGTGACAATCTTTCATTGTACAAATCATTTGTTCCATCAACAGCAATACTTCCCCATACTGAATCAACAACAATGAATTCACAGTTTTTCCCTGTGTATGATGATGCTGATGAACATAGATCATATATTAGTGTCAAACGAAAACTATCAGGTTTGTATTTATTCGAAAAAAAGAAGAAGATTAGAACAATAATTGTTAAATTATCACAAGAAATATTCCGCAAAAATTTTTGTTCTTCTTTTTTGCAATCAAGAGAATTTTGAATCTAATGTGTTTATTTGACGCTTTGATTTCGAATAGAATTATTTAATGAGAATGAATTGTCATAGATGTAAACATCTCATCGAATACAAATGATGCATATACATATATATTGATTCACAAACTATCGATTAGGGTTAAGCTATAAAAACAAAATAGACTATAGAAAAAAATGACTGTTCAATTGAACAGTCAAGTATCAATTATATTTCTTTAGTATTTCAAGGTTGTTTCATATAATACAATTCAGATCGAAAATATCTGATCGGATTTCTATAAATCTTCCAGTCTTAAATCAGATCATCGAATTTTTTCAGCGTCAATGCCAATGGAAATGAAAACAAGTTCCGATAAGATCTTGTCGAATTTTTCAGTCTACTTACCAAGAAAGTTCCCCAAATGATTAATCACTTTAGAGCCGGAAGCATGTGCATCATGTAGACCCTAATGGATTATGAATACTCTGAAAAAACTTCGGCTGCATAATTTATTGCTGTCGACGTATTGCATTTTTACGGAATTTTTTCAACATAATTTCGTAGTCCTCCTCAGAAACACCAGGAAAACTGAATGTTGAATTTCGACTTGTAACTTGACATAGAAACAATCCTTAACGAGAATTGATAATCTTGAAAGTATCAGACGATTTGATCTATTTCTATCTTACAATAAGAACATCGAATCTAGGTGTTTCTATGAGCTATGTAGAAGATGTACTTTTATTATGGTTGTATCTTGAGATAGAAGCAATGGAAGTATTTGAAACTTGCACAATAAACTACTTTCATTAAGACCTGTTTCTATGCAACGCTTCAAGTCGAAATTCCAAAATTAGTTTTCGTAATGTTTTGTTTTTGAGAGGGGGGGGGGGGGGGGGGGGCGCCCCCTGTTTTTTTTCAAAAACCGAAAAAAAAAAAAGATGTCGGGCCGAAGAAATGTGGTGGCACACATTCTTTTTCTGAGTAATGCATAGTATCACG